CTGAAATGTGAGCTTCAGTGCTTGCAAAAGTTATACACAATACAATACAATACAATACAATACAACACCTCGTCCAACCCTTCTCTAACGCAATCCCACAAAATTGTGAGATTGGCTAGTAATATCTCTATAGGATCACCCTTGAGTCCCAGCGGGAGGTGTAGGAAGTGTTCCAAGGCCGGAAAAAATGGGACCTCCTGCGACACCTGCGAGCGGTGGTTTCATCGTGCTTGCAGTGAGCTTACCCTCCATGCTTACCGACTGTACCTAGATAACGCGGGGCTTAAATGAGTTTGTTGTGACTGCTCACAGCTAATTATACTTAGCCGCACTTCAGAGAAACAGCAAACTGACGATGACAACACAACTAATGATGAGACAGTCATAGAGTTAAGGAAATGCCAACCGGCAGTTAGGGCAAGTTTGGAAGCGCTGGAGGCAAGCATAAGGTTGGAACTCCCGTGACTCCAAGCAGACATTAATGCCAGGATAGCCAGTCTGTCCGAGATCAGGAAGGAGGTGACCAGCATGGCTTTCCAGACAAAAACTTTGGGCCATGAAACGGGTATCGCAATAGGCAGACAGAAATTTTGTCATCAAAAGACTGAATGAGCCTGTCTGCGGCAGTATCAGACGGAGAGAAAGAGATCTGAGACATCTTGTCTCGAACCTAATTAAACAGATGAGAATCCCGGCCCACGCACTAATCAAAAGCATTTTCAGGCTTGGGAAATGGTCTAATGCGCAGGCAAGCATAGCTCGTATCCCAAAGCCAGTTCTGGTGGAATTTGGCAATCAGAGATTCCAGGATGCATTGCTGGCGGGGGCGGGTAGAATAGAGAGTCTGACAAATGGCAAGGTAGGGGTCGAACCGGATAACGCGTCTATGTGTGCTGGACTTCGTCAAAATACATCACCGACTAACAGGACTTATTGCGATTCCAGGAGTAACTCACCCAGGATAGAGCTTAGTTGAATGCAGTATCAGTCACCGGTACTAGCTGCTCAACTTACCACATCCACTCCCAGGTCTGGCTTAGCTACATTAACATTATCACCCACAGGGCACAGTAGCAACGAAGGCTGCTCAGGACTCACCCCAGTAGAACGGATGATAATGCCCACAGCTGCCCGAAAGGACAGGCCTGACAGTGAACCTACTCAGTCGGAGACTGGTAAAGAATCATGGGTTACAGTGGCTCGTAGGAGGAG